CCTATTGGCTTCGCGCGCGATCACTTAACCATTAGACCACTGAGCCGGTATCCAACGGTCGTCCAGTGCTTCCAGGTTTTCAATGGTGGTCTAGCTTCAACTGACTCATGATTTCAATCTGTGAAAATTTCTAAAAATCTCCACAAAACACATTCTGATCATAATTTTGTTGTTTGATTATATTTTCCTTGAAAAAGATTGAACTAGATTGCCAACCGAAATGTTGGATTTACTTCAAATTCTTTCGCTGAAATTTTACAAATACATTCTTCCTCTTTAATGACTCATATTAACTCAGCGCCTAAATATTGTGAAACTATTCGTTCAAATTTAGACGAAAGTTCTTATATAAGCTATTATTATTGTTCAAAAAAGTCAATCTAGATATTCTCATAAAGTGTTATATATTTCGAATAGTAATTCTAAATAATGTGAAGGAATTCAATTTGATTAGCTCTATAAAATATAATAATTTTCATTTGAGTTAAACATGAAATAATTCGAAAAATGATATTTTTATCAAATTTCTAGGAGTTAATGTTATCAGTAAATAAGTCAATATAAGATTTAAACAACGTGTATGTAAAAGGAATTGAGTACAGTTACCGGTAATGGCTAAATTTGAAGATGATCAATACAATTTAAAATGTGTATTTTGATTTCTTTAACAGATACTTGTTATAAATTTCAAAATGAGTATTAAATATTTATATTTGTTCAAAGTAAATGACAATCTTTTATACAAAATTTTATCTTAATCTTGTTAAAAATAGCTTTACTCAACTTTGTTCTTATATAAATAGAATAAGTTTCAAATCTACTTTGTAAAGCTCAAGTAAAAATCAATATAAAATTAGCTAATTTATTTCAGATAAGATGATCTATAACCAAACGCCAATGATAAAGCCTTACAGGATCAACTGAAGGAAGAAGAAACTACTATGGAGGACAACTGAAAAGGGATCAAAAAAGCAATAACTTCAAGGTGTCAGGAGGTTCTGGGCCTCAAGAAACATCATCATAAAGAATGGATCTCTATAGAAACACCGGACAAGAGCAAAGAAATGAAGAACAAGAAGACAGCAATTAACAACAGCCGAACACAAGCAGAGAAACTCCAAGCACAAACTGAGTACACAAAAGTAAACAAGAAAGTGAAGGAGAGCATTAGAGCCGACAAGAAGAAATACGTGGAGGAACTAGCAATGAAAAAGGAAAAAGCTGCAACATGAGGAAGTATGAAACGACTATATGACTCAACGAAAAAGCTAGCAGGGAGATGTAATATACCAGAGAGACTGGTCAAAGACAAAAACGGCAAGCCAATCACTGAAATTCAACGACAGCGGAACAGATGGTTAGAGTTCTTTGAGGAACTCCGTAATAGACCGGCTCCAATGAATCCATCGGACGTCGAATCAACACAAACAGATCTTCCTATAGATTTCAATCCACCAACGACGAAAGAAATCAGAATGGCCATCAGACGAATCAAGAGCAGGAAAGCAGCAGGACCTGGTAATATACCAGCTGAAGCACTGAAGTCAAACATTGAAGTAACTACAAACATGCTTCACCTTCTATTGAAAAAGATTTGGGAGGAGGAACAAGTGCCGATGGACTGGGAAGAAGGACACCTCACCAAGATTCCAAAAAAAGATTATCTGAGCAAATATGAAAACTACAGAGGCATTAGACTACTATCATTACCAAGGAAAGTCTTTAATAGAGTGCTGCTGAACCGGGTGAGAGATGCAATAGACGTCCAACTTCGAGATTAACAGGCTAGAATCCGTGAGGATTGGTTGTGCACAGACCAAATTACGACACCATGAATCATCGTCGAACAATCAGTTGAGTGGAACTCGTCACTGTACCTCAACTTCATTGATTATAAAAAGGCGTTTGACAATGTAGATAGGAGAACATCATTGAAACTTCATCGACACTACGGAGTTCCTGAGAATACTGTCAACATTATCCGAAACTCATACGACGGATCACAGTGCAAAATACTGCATGGAGAACAGCTGACAGATGCATTCCAAGTAAGGACCGGAGTCAGACACAGCTGTCTACCCTCCCCCTTCCTCTTTCTTCTGGTGGTCCACTGGATTTTGAAGACCTCGAGATCAAAGGGAAAGCATGGAATACAGTAGACAGCTCAGAATAATTTAGGAGATTTGGACTTCGTAGATGACTTGGCTCTTCTATCCCATACACATGGACAAACGCAGGTAAAGAGAGCTAGTATAGCAGCAACCTCTACATCAGTAGGACTCAACATACACAAGGGGAAAACCAAGGTCTTCAAATACAACACAGAGAACAACAATCCAATCACTCTTGATGACGAAACTCTGGAAGATGTAGAACCTTTCACATACCTGGGAATCATCATCGATGAACAAGGAGGATCAGATGCAGACGTAAGGTGAGGATTGGTAAATCAAGGGTCACTTTCCTACAGTTGAAGAAAATATGGAATTCAAAACAACTCTCAACCAATATCAAAGTCACAATCTTCGATATGAACATCAAAACGGTTCTACTGTACAGAGCTGAAACGTGGAGAACTACTAAAACCATGATCAAAAATGTACAAGGATTTATAAATGGTTGTCTACGCAAGATACTCAACATCCATTGACCGATTACTATCAGTAACAGCCCTCTGTGAGAGAGGACAAACCAACTTCTTGCTGAAAAAGAAATTAGGAAAAGACTCTGGAAATGGATAGGACATATATTACGCAAATCGTCAAACTGCATCAAGAGATAAGCGCTAACTTGGAATGCTGAAGGGAAGAGGAAAAGAGGAAGGCCAAAGAACACACTGCGTCGGATAAAAGAAGCTGATATGAAAAGGATGAATAACAACTGGAAGGAACTGGAAAGGATTGCTCAGGACAGTGTTGGATGGAAAATGCTAATGAGCGGCCCATGCTCCTTCACGAAGAGTAACAGGCGTAAGGAAAAAGTAACTAAATGTGTAATTAATATACTGAAAACATTGAGTGATCTTAACAACGGTTTGTTGGTAATTTATATTTATCAATAACATTTTACGATGAAGTAAACCATCTTACTACTTTAAAATTGACAAATTTTATAATCACATTAATCACTTAATGAATTTTTAATTATTAAAAAAAAAGTTTTAAACATTTACTGAATGTTTAAAATTAAAGAGAAAAATTATTTACGCTGATTTATTTGCTTCTGTGCTCAAAACATCAAAAATAGTTTATCTTAATCAATAATGTGTAGTCAACAGATATGAAAATAAGGACCTTTCATCTGTACTTTCTAATATGGAATCACTAAGTCACCTAACTTTTTATTCAATGAAGAAAGATTGTATCAATTATTTGAACGCATGTTTATTAAAACACATTGTTTTCAGCTTAGTTTGATACAATGTTGTAGAAATGATGAATTGACTTTTTTTTATCACTGATCTGTTAAAATGTGAGATATGGAAAAAGTTATTGATGTTTTCTTTATGCATAGCTTGATTCAATAACATCCTATTAAGAGCTATATGAAAGATTAATTTTTTAATATTCAATTTTTTTAAAACTTCTTTAAAGAGAAAAATATTTGTTTACATTAATGTAAGTGGTTACTTCAGAATATGATAAAAAGTTTTCCAAGCGAAAGTAGGTAAACAGTAAAAAAAAAATTATGAAACGACAACAGTCTTTTCAAATTTTGATTATCATTGTGACTGTTTAACAACTAAATAATAATATTTGGCAGCCTGCTTGAATATTTGGGCTACTTGTTCCTACGATCTATATATTTCATCAAGTTATCTGTTTTGTTGTTTGTTTTAGCATATCATTATGTCTATTGTGCGCACAATCTATTCAGGTGCATTTATGAAAAGTTTCGCTATACGGGATACAAAAAGGTACAATTAGCGATATCATGGTGGCTGGCAATATGCATTAAAACGAATGAACATTAATCAAATGTGGATTACCGAACTCCTAACATGTAACTGGTCATCATTCAAAATCTATCGTCACAATCGATCAAGGTATAAAAAAAGGAAACTTGTTGAAATACTTTGTGCTGAGAATTCTATGTTGTACCAAAAATATAATGTTGAATAAAGCTAATAATGATAATAATAATAATAATAAGTTCTAGATAATACTAACTTAATTGACAGAGATCTATCTGTAGTCAGTACATCTACTAATCTTTAAAAAATTTATTCATGGATTGGTTTAAGTCAGACATTAACAATGTTGGATGCCGGCTCAGTGGTCTAGTGGTTAAGCGCTTGTGTGCAAGACTAACAGGCTGTGAGTTCGAATATCGCGGGGGGCGGGATCGTGGATGCGAACTGCTGAGGAGTTCCATGCTAAGATGAAACAACTATTCAGTGCTTCCAGGTTTTCCATGATAGTCTAGCTTCAATTGACACATGATCTCAATCATGGAAATTACTAAAATATCCACAAAACCCTTTCTGATATAAAAATCTATTTGATTATATCAACTTCAAATAATGTTTCATCCCATTCTGTCGATTCACCATTCACATAGATATATTTAGAGAAATAAACAAACATAATCATTTTTTTAATTCAATAAGTAACTACCTAAAGTTAAGCATTTATTTAGTTATAATTAATTTAAATAATCAATAATTATATAGGTATAGGTACCAAGGTTTGATTTGATAATTTCGAATAAATTGAGCATTAGGTTGATTGTTAAAAATAAAAATAATATATTTTGTAATATCCCAATGAGTAGAGAAATTAGATTTTCTGACGTTTCGTAACCTAGTGTAAGTCACTTCTTCAGAGAACAAATAACCAAATTAAAATTAATCCAAGTTTAAATAATATAAAGGAATAATAATAAGAAGAATAACTAAGCCACGAAACGTCAGAAAATCTAATTTTTCTACTCATTGGGATATTACAAATATACTATCTATTTACAATAATTATATATACATTTTTAAATAAATCACTTACCTTGGAGATAATTTTAAAAACAAAATTTAATTAAAAAATTTATTCCTCAAATTATTGTTTATTTAACATAAATTAATTGTTATTTAAATTATGTTTAGTTTAATGTTCATTTACTTAAATAGTGAGTTGGTTTCTTGATAGAAACTAATTAAATGAACATTTCCCATATTATTTAATTAATTTTATAATGAATTAATTTGATTGGTTAATTTTTATATTATTGAAATTATATGAGACAATGAATATGATTTGAGTAAAGTGGGCGATATCGAAAGTTTATGAATGGTTAAATAAATGTATTAAAATAGAGGATTGAAAATCTTTCACTACTTTACAATATAATAAAATAAATCTTACAAAATCTTTATACTTTTACTTTAGTTATTACATTGGTAACAAAGTATCTTATCTATTATTTTTATTATTATTTATTTTAACACATAGATATTGGTACAAGGAGGCACCAAATACATATGCGCCACATAAATCTCATTCGATATGTGTGAGGGCTGTGATACTGCCCGGTTGCCCAAACTGAAGCAGGTGGTTTTCTTAGAGGGCCACTCCCCGAGCCTTCGACCTAAAGGTCTGACCTACAAAGTAGTGGAGCATCGTAAGGAGATGCAGTCCCATGGAAGCCAGTGACCAATAATTGGTTCATACGCCATTTGTTCCCGCAGGATACTGGAGCCCATGCGCAACATTGGTTTGGAATCCGGTTAAAGCGCCGGACATTCGCTTTTCGTCCTCTTATTTTCGTACACAACACCCCCGCCACGAGAATGCAGTGAGTAGGACTTCCCTGGCAGATGCTATATAAGCGTGGCCGTGTGAGACGAGAGGGAGAGGAATCTACTCATTTTGTATTATTTGTGTATAAATTCTACTATATATTACTTGAATTTCATTATTATCTTTGAATTTGTTTTAATAAACTTATGTATATTCTAGATATATAATCTCTAATTGACGATAACCTTATCTCACATCGGTAGCTGACAAGTTTCAATTTTGTATAATTTAAAACTTAATTTTAAATGAATCCAGATATTCTTTTTATGTCACAGAAAATGTCAGTACGCTAGATTATAAAATTTAATTTAAAATCTATACTGTCGGTTTAGAATAGCGACTTTATTTCACTAAGGTTTAAATAATCCGTTTGATTGTATATTTATCTTGGCTTTACCGCTGAGTAACTAACTGAAGAAAATACTTCCTTTTCTCACATATAACTAATATATCTATCTTTTGTTTATTTGCTTCTTGTTTAACATCATATAAGAGATTGATCTTATTAAAATCTCAATATTATTTTAAAAACACCTATTACATTCTTTATTTCTTCTAAATACTAAGCAACAAATACACGTTTTTCTTTCCATCTTCAATCATTTCAGACTTTCAGAAAAAAAAACATATAACCGCCGTCAAAACCGTCCAACTATGTTAAGAATGATGATATGATAGACTTTATTAAATATTATTTCAGGTTACTTCATTCTACGCTCTAAAATAATTAGGATTTTAAAGCAAGAAACAATATTTACTGTCTAATAAGATAAAATGCAAGCCGTGACTAGTGGAGCTAATCCTTGTCGGGTAGAGACAATTATCTACTTCAGTACAATGGAAGTTAGTCGCGCAATTTCGTGGATTGGTTGATGTTAGAAACTATCACCATTGGATGCCGGCTCAGTGGTCCAGTTGTTTAAGCGTTCGCGCGCGAGATCGAAGGCCCTGAGTTCGAATCCAGCTTGCGGGATCGTGGATGCGCACTGCTGAGGAGTCCCACAATAGGACGAAACGGCCGTCCAGTGCTTCCAGTTTTTCAATTGTGATGGTCTAACATCAATTGGTTCAAGATCTCAATCAAAAACTTAATAATTTCCGCAACCCCTATACTAGTAAAATGCAAAAACACAATTTATGAATTAGTCTATTAAATTTCTCGATTACGTTAGTTATATCTGCACTTCAGATATTTTATTTATTTCCAAATATCTTCATCTTTATAATTGCTAGTGAAAATGGTATTAAAATATATTCGAAAAAGTAGTCGGTATACGTTTATACAAAATTAAAATATGAAAATAATATTCAGTGATTTCTACTTCTGTAAGGCAATACAATAAAGTGAAACTAATCAGTTAGAATAGCTTAGTTGGTTTTTAGAATCTGTTTACAATGCTACAGTGATTACAAGAATCTTTTAAAATTTAAAGATATTCAATATTTGTCATATCAATTACCAGTGTACCATTGAAAAGCTCCTCTTTACTGAAAATCAGATATCATAATACTAGAAGCTAATACTAAAATCGACCTCAATACCTAATTTGTTACTTCAGTTATATAACGTTTTACTGAATAGCTTATTTATACAATATCTTACTGCGTTTATTAGATGATATATATATATATATATATATATATATATATATATATATATAATATATATATATATATATATATATAAGTTAGGGCGTGCTTCGTGATGCAGTTTGATGATTTGCGTAATGTATGTTCTATTAATTTCCATCGTCTTTACTTATTTCCTCTTCAGCAAGAAGTTGGTTTGTCCTCTCTCACAGAGGGCTGTTACTGATAGTAATCGGTCAATGGATGTTGAGTATCTTGCGTAGACAACCATTTATAAATCCTTGTACATTTTTGATCATGGTTTTAGTAGTTCTCCACGTTTCAGCTCTGTACAGTAGAACTGTTTTGATGTTCATATCGAAGATTGTGACTTTGATATTGGTTGAGAGTTGTTTTGAATTCCATATTTTCTTCAATTGTAGGAAAGTGACCCTTGATTTGCCAATCCTCACCTTACGTCTGCATCTGATCATCCTTGTTCATCGATGATGCTTCCCAGGTACGTGAAAGGTTCTACATCTTCCAGAGTTTCGTCATCAAGTGTGATTGGATTTCTGTTCTCCGTGTTGTATTTGAAGACCTTGGTTTTCCCCTTATGTATGTTGAGTCCTACTGATGTAGAGGTTGCTGCTATACTAGCTCTCTTTATCTGCATTTGTTCATGTGTATGGGATAGAAGAGCCAAGTCATCTGCGAAGTCCAAATCTCCTAAATGATTCTGAGCTGTCTACTGTATTCCATGCTTTCCGTTTGATCTCGAGTTCTTCATAATCCAGTGGACCACCAGAAGAAAGAGGAAGGGCGAGAGTAGACAGCGTTGTTTGACTCCAGTCCTTGCTAAAAATCTATCAACCAGACATATTAAACCTGAAGAATATGAAATATAATAGTATTATATAAATCGGAAGATTAAAAACAACACCGATATTAGAAGTAATTTTAAAGAGATTTATTAATTATGAACTAATTAATAGAAAATTTACATGTAACGTTTTTCTCGAGATATTTCATTGTATATATTAGAATGAAAGAATTTGAAAATTGAAGAACTAATGAATAGGTAATTATATAAGACAATACAATGAATTATTAAAAGAAAGACCAACTGAATATTAAATATACTCAATTAATAAAACATAAATATTAAGTAATTAGTCCCTTTTATGAATTTCGATAGAACAATGAGAAGACGGAGTTGATCTGAAAAATGTGATGTATTTGCGCTATACATTTCGAACAATCTGGTCACATATATACTTGTCAGGGCATTTTTATATGAAAATTAATAAAGGTCAATTAGATGAAAGTTCAAGTATAATGACAAAGGGAAGAGAAAGAATAAGAAATTTTCGCGTTATCCTAGGCCATAGAATGACTTAAGGATTACCAAGGTAAATTCAATGTTACGACAAATTGTTTTTGTACACATAAGGGGGGTTTAAATTTACGAATAGCCAAGGCTTCAATAAACTTAAGAATTCGTCGTTGACAATTTCTATACAACGTTCTAAAAGCTGTATTAATGTCAATTTTGTGCCCCGTTTCAATTATATGTTTCGCTATCGATCAAACTGGTTTTCTACCTCTCACATTGATCGGATCATTTGACACACATTGGTGGAGTTTTGTTCTCTGAGCTGGATGGTTTGGTCTGATTTGATTTTGAAGCCATCTATGCACATGTTCATTGACCCTTGATTGCATTGTTCGATTAATATAAATAATATCTAGAGTAAAGTTAAATTGGACATTCATAATTTTGAATAAGTGAAATACATTTAAACTTTTTTTATATTTTAAATGGTTCAATTAAAATGATTACGGTATTTAGTTTATGAATGTACTAATTAATAAGCATAATTTTTAGAATAATAAATTATGGTCTAAAATTTAATTAAATTCAATTATATTTGTAAAAGCAATGAAGATTTTTTAGTTTTCAATTATATAATACATATTTACCTTAATTCATTTGGTATTGTTTTAGTTGATGTTTAAGTCTACAATTGATCAGTCTCTTATTGGTATATGTGCATACTGTGCGTATTGCCTTGATATTGCCTTAATTTACAAGTACTATAAACTGACGAGTCCTGATTAGAACGAAACGCTCATCCTGGATTCCACTGCTAGCCACTATTCGATCTTTGCTTATAATGTTTGTCATATTCTACCTGGTTTTAAAAAGTAAATGGTAATAACAAATAATCATTATAACCCAATTCAAATAGACATTGAAGCATATACACTGAACAATTTAACAATGAAATTAAATTTTGAAATAATATCAATGCTATCTATCTTAAACTTAAATGATTAATCTTGATTTATGGATGATATTTCATGTTAGATAATCATTATCAGATGGCTACTGCACTCTTTCTTGACTTTATTTTACCAACTAATTAATATCAGTCTCATCATAAATAAGGGTTTACGATGTATACTCTTTATTATTTCATGTTACCGAACACCAAGTGTTGACCTTATCAGAAAACGTACTTCTAAACCCTACTTTAGCTCCATTTGAATCTGAGTAATAATTTCTAAATCATAATAATAGGAATATTACCCATTTATCATAAAACTCAGAAAAAAGTCCTCTTTTTACTAGTAAATTTCATTTTATAATCATAAAGTGTATATGAACTAACTGTGCTTTATCTTATTTTAAACATTTTTAATGCTTCAGTAGAGTTGGATTGTGGCTGATAGTAGTATCCACAAGGTGACTTCCGTTCCATTTGGGACTTATCAGTTGAATGCACCTGTACTTCAATATTGTTCCCTACACTAGAACTTAAATTCAAAACCTTTACCTTGAAACTTCAAAACAATAACCATTTAGCTATTGATTCCAGATTTTCACTAATACAAACAGTTTCAAGGAAGTCAATTATTCTCTATTAAAAACAGTTTTTTTTATTAAGTCATTTCTGTCTAAAACACTTGGGTTGTACGTCTATAGAAGTTATTAAAAATGAAAATGAAAACTAAACAAGATTTGTTTATGTAAAGGCTGTCATACTAACTACTACCTTTGTTTAGTTTAACAAGTTTTATCTTAGTTCATAATGTTTCCGGATCTGATGTTACAAAAGTATGGAGATCTTCACAGTGTCTTTGTCACTTGCCAACAAGTAAAGATAACTCTATTTTTGTAAGCAATGTTGGATAGTGGCTAGCAGTGGAATCCAGGATGCGCTTCTCATCCTATTTGGGACTCGTCAGCTGGATGTACCTGCATCTCAGAGTTGATGTTCACTCCCAAATAGGACGAAACGCGCGTCCTGGATTCCACTGCTAGCCACTATCCATCATTGCTTACTAAAAACTTGTGAATTAAGGCAATATCGAGGCATACGCACAGTATGCATATATGCCAATAACAGACTGATCAATCGCAGTTTTAAACCTCAATGAGAAGATACAAGCCAAACAATACCAAGTGAATTTAACTGTATTTTTACCTTCATAATTTTCATCAGATTTGTTTAATTTGACATTTCACTAAAACAAAACACTAGGTTTTTTGTGAAGAGAAAATGCAAATTGATTCACTATTATACCATACAAATAAGAAATACCACAATACACTTTTTGCTAATCTGTATTTCTCCCAACATGATACAGTTGATTTTAGCATTCTATATGGTGCTTATATAATTCTTACCTATTGAAGTGACAATTTGTACTTGTTTATTAGAATAAAAGAATACAGTATTTCACCTCATATGAAATGCCAAAAAATAAGTCCTGAATTTTACTACATTACAAGTGAGTCTCTTTATAAGTTCAAATAGCAATCATACAGTATGTACATTACAATACGTTCATATTTCTATGAAATTCCTTATGAGATTCTAGTACCTATGACCCTTTACTGTGAATTGCTTTTTTTTAAAATAAAACATTAATTAGAAAACTCATTCAATACAAATAACAATTAATTCTTATAGAGGCTAATATTTCTTCCGATATTTTATTTAATTTCACTATTTTAAACAATAACTTTTTTTCATCATTTAAATTTATGAATAATATATGGTGACAGCTAGTAATGAAATAAAAAAATTATGTTTTATCAGTTAGATACACATGAATTGTATGATTTGTCATTAATTTTTCAGATAATTAATGTCCAATATATGTTACTTTAAATATAAAAACTGTTATATGTATATAAGTAACAAAGTTTTAAACAAATAAAGGCGTATCCCGTATTTCAACATCAATTAATTTATTCACTTTTGTAAATTAATAAAAGGTGTTTAATTTCCTTATATACACAATAGTCTCCAACAGAACAAGAAAATAGAATGCTGATATTGATAGAAAGTTTTTTTTTCAAAACTTTCAAAATTCATTTATTTCTCTTTAAACATAGTGTAGGACAAACAAAAAGCATCATATTTTCTTGCAAAATGTAATGAAACAATATGCTTTGAAGACATAATAATTGATTAAACAGTAGCTAACCTACTGTTTATCGGTGATTAAACCTTTTACTTGGTCACAGTTACATCTATGTTTATATTATCCTCTTCAATAAAACATTTATATTTATATCATCTGAAGTAGAAGTACGATTGACTTGTTTCAAACGTGTTTACAATATGATCAAAACATCCATTTTAATTTTTGAACTTTTAAGTAAGGCAATAGATTTTGAGGGGAAAATAAAGGAACTAACGACAATAAGGTTTAATCCGTAATAACAAGGAGAAGGAATCTATCGACTTCGTTAACATCTTATTCCACTGATTTATTTAGTGTACCAGTTGGAATAGGGTTTCATACAGAAATATCCACAGATGTTTATCCTTAACTTAAGGATGTTTTCTGATGAATTTAAGGCTTCATCAGGATACTATCTCAAGGACCACTATAGTGACCCTGGATTAAAATTAATGTGTTAAGGTGACTTGTTTTGCTTAATAAATTGTAATCTGTAAAGCTTCTGCTTCTTTCACATTTGAAAAAGGCTATAAAAACTCTATCTTTAGGTGTCATATATTTAATGTAATCTTCTTACAGCCGATCCGTTCTAGATCAGTATTCACATCTAAATGTTTCAAGGCCTACTGACCAGAAAACGTCCCAGATGTGTTTCCTACACCCCAGTAGCTTACGGGTTTTCTTGTTGATCAATGAAGGTTGACGTGGTAACCTACGGATTTATAGCAGACATCCTACATTCAATTTCGATCATTGTTAATTTTTATTAAGTTGTTTTATTAACTTACTTAACAGACAATGTTATTCGAACAGTAACAATTCACATATTTCTTTAGGAAACAGGTGAGTCTGTTCCGATTTCGGTTGTTAATTCTAATACTAATGAGTGCATTCTAGATAAGAGTTTTTATCCAAAACAATGTCGGACAGACACAGGACGAACTTAAAAAAACGTACAATCGATCACAAACACTTAGATTCTAAATTAAGCTGTTATGGATGTGGTGTTTGAATGAACTAATGATTTCTTTGTACTTCTTGAATGCTTGATTTCAAATTCTATATGAAGTACATTCGTTCGTGCTTGTCTAGTAGTTCTTGATTCAATTGCGTCATTTTTGGGATTCTTAGTTAGTACTATAATTCAAATACTACTGATTATCACAACTAAATACACTATCTTCCAATATTATTGAACTAATAGGGTTGTGTGAGTAGATCACACATCATTCACCCTTCTTATGGTGTCGGTTCAAAAGACGAGGTGTGTATTCATCTGTACTTAGTTCTTCACCTAGTATTGTAGACGGGCACCACGTTTTCGTTATCAGGATAATTTATGGCTAGGTAACTGAGACATCCTAAGTTCTTTTGTTTTATTACTTAACCGACGTTTCCAACGGCCTGAATTATTCCGAGAAATCTCTTAATTCATTAAGCAAACATTACTAACCCGTGAGCTCTTTAAGTTGTGAGAAATCTACACTTCGTTTAGGTTTTTTGGTTAGCTTACTTTTAGGACATATTGTACAGAAATTATTATGGTAACCAGAGTATCTGGACATTTAACTCCGGAAGGTCATATATTATCCATAACTAATCACTCACATATTTACGTTTTCAAGCATTTTACATGTCCCCTTAGGCACATAACTTTTATTTGAACAAGTGACATTTTTCTACTAAGGCTTATCAACACAAATCACTTGATGCAGTAATTTGATGTTGATCGTCTCTTAGTAAGGGTGTACATGAGTAAATGACGTAGGCAATATAAAAAAATTATGCATGACAACGTCACAAAGTACTTAAAATCTTGATACCAGCCGCATTCAACCATATTCAAGTTTTTTCGTGTAGACTGAAAAGCAAAGTGTATTTCTAAGCCAAACGTTACAATAAGGCTGACTATGAACTAAGTGTGTTGGGACTATTTTTAGGCGAATGGAGAAACCCATGAGTTATGTTCTTCTAAATGAACTAGTTAATCAGTACCACTCATCTATTGTTTGTTTCAATCTGACGATTAAGTTGATTGAAGAATTGGCTGCGATTCAGCACACCAGTGGATGACCACAACGGTTGTTGAGACAAGACGAAGAACACAACAGGATAGTGTATACCTATTTATTAGGAAACAATAATTAACTGCGAACCCAAAATTAGTAGTTTATAACCAGAAAGAAAAGTGAGATCAGCAATAAATGAGCTAAATGAATGCCTATGAAATTAGACCGGTATTATCTTCAATTTACTTTCGTTATATATTTAATCTGACTCTGCCAAAATTTCAATACTGTTCAGCCGTATTGATGTTGTGGAGGTTGGACGTAATGGATTTAATGAGGCCATACAAAGTTCAACTACATCAGTGAACCAACTCCATTGGTGCCTGTAATATATCGAATGATCTGCAGTTACTACCACTTACTGATCTTAGTTAAACAACTGTTCACCATCTGAAAGCATTAAAAAACTGCTACCCTGCAGCATGGGACTCCATATTGTTGGTCACCTATGAAAAAGTCGTGACTAAATGAAGGACCTTCATTTCTAGATGGGAGCGTTTAACCTTTGTACTATCAAGGTGGTATCCATTAATCCACAAGTTTAACTTTTATACCTCCTCATGGCCCCTGAACACTTTTCTCCAGTGCTTCCCAGATATAAATGTCAAGGGACAAACATCACGTTCATTCTTTCAATTTTGATATTTAGAAGTCTTAGTCGTATGTCCAACCCTGATGGTTGTGGTTGAACACAACAGAATAGTTCCATTTTGAAATAAGACAACTGGTTTTCAGCGGTATTCTAGGAATGATCAGCTCGTGATGTAAGTTATGAATTTCACTATCCCCTTAAACTGACTACTAAATTTTGTGGCGGGTAGTACGTCATTCGAGGTCATTATGTCCAATGTAAAAACGAAGAGTGTGTCGGATATATTTTGTGATGCACATGCTTTGCATGTAGTTGACACAAGCAGAGCCAAAGACGGAGTGTGGTTAGTCAAAGTTCCAAAATATTTAGCTGAACTTTGGCATAATGCTGGCCCTGATGGTGTAGTTGGCAAAGTTGTGATCGCAAGTTCAACTAGTGCATCTCAGAATGGCAACAAAGGCCCAGGGTCACAAGTCACTCTTGTTACTGATTCAGAACTATTAAATCAAGTCGGAGAGTCCGGAAATCTGATACCAAAGGTAGGTAGTATGTTTTATACAAAACCACACGTTAAGATTTAAAGGTTATGGGCAATTTACTGTTTCTTCACTGTACTACTAAAGATCCGTTCGAAATAGTCCCTGAAACATCATTCGTGATTCCTTAGTTCTTCGACATCATACAATATACTTCAAATATCGTATTTACGTCTAAATTTACGCCGAATCATCTCATTTTAGTCTAAAAAGGAATCGTTCACGCACATTTCTATGCTTGTAGCTCTAAATTTCTTCCGCAGTCGCCTTTATTTCTATTGCAAAACACGTTTAGAACAGCAGTAAAAGGTTGTCATTTCAAATGAGTACTTACATCTTTTGTTTTCGTCCAACGACGCTTTTGCAGTTTATCTCATGTCGTGAAAGTCCTCATGCGCCGCGATATCAGCGCGCCTAATGAATATAAAAGAAAAGTACTTTTAATTCGTGATCCTGCACTTCTTAAATACCAACTAGTATTAAGTGGTTGGCAATGTCAGGTTTCATGAGTCCAACACAGCGTATGCGAGCTTTATTAGTATCATCCACTAGTTGCGTCACCATGCACATCTGGAATGCAATGTGATGATCCGATAAATATGATAGCCCTTCAAATTGGTTTCTAATATCTCCTTATTGAAGAGATGCATCTAACGTCCACAGTTCCTCTTCAGGTGACAAACGGAACTGCACACTTGACAGTCCAGTGTTAGGTTTCGTGGATAATCATATCCATTAGCTTAGACACTAGCTGCCTAATGTTTCCACACTGGTCTGATATTGCTAATAATATGTCATGCACGGCAGCATGTATTTTTTGTTTAATGTTCAACATTAACTTAAATCCCCAACTGTGACATACTCAGCTGTTAACCCACTGCCAACACGCTTTGAAATGAACGTTGAGGACGACGTTTCTAATTGTTAAAAACTTGTTTATTAACATTATAAATAAAACACCCTTACTTTGCAATTAGTGGCACTGTAGTGTCCAGTAACCTAAAGTATATTTCGAACGTGGCTATTTCCAGCCTGCATTCCAGACACGTCCATATCAACGAAATTATACAAAAACCCTTGTTTCCGTTCCAATGCCTTCACGAAAAATTAGTACGATTACTAATAAATTCTTAAGCTTCTTTATGTTTAGTGTCTAGGTGTTTTTGTCCGTAAAAATATTGACATGGTAGCCGACCAGTTTACTGAATAAAACACAAGTCCTCAGTTTGCTTTTTTCTTCAGGAAACGAATGCCTCTGTATATGTAACTCACCATAGCAGTTGATAAATTTGCACTTGATGATTGGCCAGTTGTCATTTGACTGAGCATTTATCCAGGTGAATATCCATAAAGTTATTAGGATACAAACGAAGTTCTTTTCCATTTGCTGCGATTGAAACCTTCGTGCTTGACTCACCGATGAGCACAAACTGATTAGTAGTACGCTTGACAGTATATAATGTTTAGGAATTTATTCGAAATGGTAACATTAACAAGAAATACAAAGACATATTTACATGAATGTATGTAGCGACAGAACGATTACTACATTATTAACGCAGTTTACGGAAATGCACTTACAGTATACATCGTTAGTGAAGACCCATATGTGCTCATGACTAACTCCCGAGCACATAAATATATCTATGCTACTAGAAGAGAATGCACACTTATATCAGTTGTTTTTTTAGTATGAATCACTCCTATTTCTATGGGTCTTGTTTTATGTTGATCGTACGTAAATTTCTGGTATCACACATTAAGATGATAATAACCTCTCATCTAGGGTCGAAAAGTCTCTTCTAGAAACAGCTTCGTAGCACTAGGACAAGCTAATCTACTTTCAAAATCCAATTCATGCCAGAGTTAACGGGGGACCATACCTAACTTCACCTATAGTTCTCAACAATGGAGAATAGTTTCACACCAGAATTGTTTTGTACAAGACTGATTTGTTAAAAGCAAGTAGACGGACTATTTTCACTCGCAGGTTCTTAATAAGTAATTAATATTGAATCCACAGGCCATTTAATTTGTAGATGAAGTGATATGTTAATCGGTTTCAGCAATTTTAGATTTCCCTGATTATAGGAGTTTCTAATTATCTATATCATTACAGAAATCTCCTTGCTAGAAAAAATGTCTGACCTTACTGGGGATTTTGTTATCATAATTGGTAAAGGTCAATAATATCTTGTCTCTATAAGAAGTACGCGATAAGAATTCTATGGTTGGTAATATTAAGAAAAGTTTCTTTAACCAAACTTCTGACATTTTACGTGTAAGTCTTCACATTTTATCTGGGTGATGCGTTTACATACTTTTGTATTCACTTTATTTGATCTTGACATCACATTTTAACTATTACTTCCACCAACCAAGTAAATCTATGTTTGATTAGTGAATGAAGTCTTATTTATACTTACAGGAACATCAGTTTCTGATTCAAACTTCTGCATCATCAAATAGTACACCTGGGACTGCTCGCCCAGGTCAAACTACTCCAAGTTCGACAGTTCAAAGGCGTCCTGGGACTATATCTGGACAAGAACTCATAATTTTGTGTGAAGACGACCTTGGATGTGCTCAAACCAACTCGTTTCCATCTTCAACGACCAACACAACTTTAATTTCCTCTGCAGCTCCACATTCTCCATTCTCAAATAAACCGTACGCTCGTTACTCTCGGCGACTATCTTTGTTTGGTCGTGTTAATAGTAGAGCTGAATGCAGACCACCACCTAATACAAGATATATGATGCTCAAAGCTCAACAGGTAAAAATCTTTGATTTTATCTAGAAACTTATGTAGGTTCATAGAATATTTCCTAATCTTGAATGTCCTATTTTGTACCCATCCTAGTTCTAGAAATACCCAACCCTCACTCTTGTGCTAGTTTTATATTTTTTTTATTTCCTCAAGCTCAAAGCAAAGAATCGGCCGCGACATGAAGTCTGTCTCCTTTATGAACCAGTAAGAAACTACAAACCAGTTTCCAATCATGTCAACAATGTAAGTATATTTTCTTAATTTCATCCATGTTACCGTCCATTTCCTTTGCAACTTACTATTCATTGTTGAAACAAAGTATTATTATGGTATAGTGATAATATATATATTGAACTCAAATATTATCTCAACCTAACATAAATATAAAAACGGTAGTTTTGAGATGTCAGTGTTACGTTTTCCTTCCATTATTCTCGTAAGCAGATAGTGTAATTTAACCGACTTAATTCCCCACTGGTATCCATAATAACTTACAAATTTGTTGATTTCATGTTTAAATTCCATCCGCTACTTGGTTTATACTAAGGTGCTCCCAATTTCAACTTAGGACTGATACTCATAGCTCGTGAAATATATCCACTTCAGTTTATGTGACGACTAGAAACAAGACTGATTTGTGGGGGTTGTGACTTGACCTAAATGGTAATGGCTGCTGCTGGTACAACTGGTTAATAAGTGTCACCTCACTATTTCAAGTATTAAGTTGATAGGCCATAGATAACAGTTTGTTTTATGTGACAAATCCACTTTTACCCTGACTAATCAAAGGAATAGTCTTTTTAGAGTTGTCTACTCTGTTATAGATTGTTGACCTTATACTCTCTATACTTTTGTCCACCTGAAATCTCACTGGAAACTTTACATTATTAACCGTCTATAATATCAACAAATTTGTTTGCGTTTGTAAATTAATGTATTTTAATCACTGCTAAGTTTCCGCTGACTGCTTTGCATTAAAATAACTAAATATTTGTTTCCTAGATCGAGTATGAAAATCGGAAAAAGGTTGAAGGTAAAAATCTTAGACGTGAAAAAGAAGACGTTTTGCAGGATTTGTTCAAAGCTTTCGAAAGACACCAATATTACTCTATTAAAGATTTGGTTGTACTTACTAAGCAACCATTGGTAAGCATCTACATAATTTACTCTCTATATCTTTGTTAGTTTCAGTTAGTTTTAATCATAATCATGATCAAATTCGAAATACGTTGATACCGTAGAATCTACTAACATGTATCACGTTCGATGATTGGTCGCATATGCCTCCTCGTCGTTTGCTTATAACTAGTCGAAATCCTCAGTAATTATTGGTTAAAACTGTGTTTATTGTATCCATTATTTTTAGATGGTAGATTAATTCTGTCAATTTATTGCACATATAATCACTGATGTGTTTTTCACCCTTAACGTTTTTTTGTTTATCTTGTGTTCACAAGCACAAGCACCATCATAAAAATGAATTTCTGTCGATAACCATGGCGAGATTTAAGAAAGGAAGAACAAGAAAGCAGCAATTAACAACAGCCGAACAGCAACAGAGAAAGTCAAGGCGTAATCTGGACACACCAAAGCAAACAAGCAAGTGAAAAGAAGAATTAGAGCTGACAAACAGAAATACGCAGAAGACCTGGCAGCGGAAGAAGTTGCTAAAGAAGAGAATATGAGACAACCATATGACAAAACGAAGAAACGAGCAGGGAAATATAGTTAACCAGAGCAACAAGTCAAGGATAAAGAAGGCAAACTAATCACTGAGGTTCACGAACAGAAGAAAAGTGGGCAGAGTACTTTGAAGAACTTTTGAATAGTCCAGCCCCACTGAACCCACCGGACAACGAAGCATTGCACACAAACCCTCCTATAGCTGTCACTCTAACAACGATCAAATAAATTAGGAGTGAGAAAGCATCAGTACCTGACAACATACTAGCCGAAGCAGTGAAGTCAGACGTATCAGGCGGCCTATTTGAATATCTGGGCCTACCTGTCTCTGCCATCAAGATATTTCAACAAGTTATCTGTTTTCTTGTTTGTTTTAACGCATCATTATGCCCATTAGTCTCATAACCTATTCAGGTGTGTTTGTGAAAAGTTTACTACATTTCGCTGTACAACTTACGAAAGAGCCTAATCAGAGACATCGTGGTTGCTGGCAATATGCTTCGAAAAGAATATACATTATTCTGATGTCGATTCCTGCTAGCATCCGACTGGCGACCACTCAATATTTATCGCAAGGATCGGTCAAGAAATAAGAAGAGGAGACTTTTTAAAATACTTAGTGCTGAGAATTCTGTACTGTACCAAAAATATAATATTGAATAAAATCACTAATAATAATAACTGCAAACATGCTCCACGTTCTATTCAGGAAGATTTGCGAGGAGGAGAAAATGCCAACAGACTAGAAAGAAGAGTATCTCATCAAGATTCCAAAGGAAGAAAATCTGAGCAAATATGAAAACTACAGAAGCATCACACTACTATCGGTACCAGGAAACGTTTCTAACAATGTGTCGATAAACCGACTGGAGGATTCAGTAGACATCCAGCTTCGAGATCAACAGCCCGGATTCTGTAAGGGTCGGTTATACACAGACCAAATCGCAACACCAGAGGTCATCGTTAAACAATCAGTTAAACATAACTCTTCACTGTGCATCAACTTCCTTGACTTGAGTGCTGTTAGAGGTATGAGGGCGGTTATCACTTCCCGGTTGCCCACACCGTGGAAGGGTTCTTCTGGAGGTACCTGGAAAGGAAATTGGATTAAAGGTGGTCTTAGTGACCTGAGAGCGTGGCCGCAGTGCCCAAGGCACAACTGTTTGAGGTCGGTCACACACGACCTTTTAATGGGTAATTTTCGTGTTAGCTCCGTACTTGTTGAGACCTTACCGCCGGAGGCGGATGTCCGTGGGATAAGGCGAGGTGTGCATTACTAGGGTCGACCTTTTCTAACCCCACCCCTCCTTGTGGGAAGGTAGCATCGCTGTCACTCTGGTTGTCTGAAGGAAACACCTTACTGTTGTCACACCTCTGTACAGTCAGCAGTACGACTTCGCCTTCGGACCTTAGGTTTATTGCTGTTAGTCTTACCGCTCTTCAACCGACCTGTCTGACATGGTAGGACCTTGAGGAACGTTTGTTCCAGCCAGTATAGCTCGGTTGCTTCATCACGATAGGCGAGCCCGACCACCACGTCAAGGTAGCAACAACGGTCGGTGTCCATTTTGTTGTGTTAATGAGGTATGGCAACTTGGATCGATGCATATATGTGCCTGGAAATATTCACATAACCAATTAATTTGTTTCGTTAGTTTTCTATAAACTAAAATATTTAATTTCAGTTTTTCATGTGTATGATATATCCTTTTTTTATTTTCAGGCCTATCTTACAGAGATACTGAAGGAAATTGCTATCTTCAACACTCACATTCCCCACAAAAATATGTGGGAGCTGAAACCTGAATACAGACATTACACACAGCCTGAGACTAAGACTGAATCTAACATGGAATAAATCATGTAAACGTACACCAATTTGTAAATTAATAAAAGCGTTCTTTCCTGTAATTGATTTTACCTTAACTCATTATTTAATTTGTATAACTCCCAAGTTTCAAGCATAATTGTTTCCACTGTCTGAATAATGCTTTAAATAACCGTTTATATCCATCTGCCTTCAAAATTTAATTTGAAAAGTTCTCGATTGCCACCACAAAATGTTGAAAATGTGTATAAGCTAGCTTTCAAATAGCAGGTCGGGTTTATTTCTTATTTCAATGACGTCCTCGTTAACCACTAGACGATACAACCCAAAGAAGTATCGCAACCAAATTTTCTATGAACTCAAAGTAACAGTGCTCTCCGTTCGTTAGACAAAACTGTGTTCCGTGAACATATCTTGGGAAAAGGTTTTGTCGTTCTCAGTGCATCATACAAAACATCTAATAAAAAGCATGAAACCACCAACGCGTTGCTGACAATCAGGAGTTAAATGAATGTTCTTGTCCATCATCACCATCCTTCCCTTAGCATTACACCCGATGACGCTCTAGAAGCAGTTTTTGGAAGTATTGTGGCACTGTGGGCCCACAGAACCTAGAAATGCCATAATCTGTATGTCTATCATAATAAGATTGTCACGTACACAATCAGACGCTGATCAGAACTATTGCGACATCTGCTTCGAACTAAATTGTGAAGTACATTTACCATAAAGATAAAACTCTGCTATCATTTACTATCAGTGAATCATTGGGAATATGGTAAGAGAAGTCATGGGATTGCTGTGATGATAAGGTTCATCTTCTTTTTAGCAAACTGCAGAACAACATACACCTCCTTCGACTACCTTTAGTACCGACACGAAGTTAGTTTCTCTGTGAAAGGTTAAGTAAATACATCTTATATATGACTTTTCAGCAGCTGCCATACCGAACAATGATGGTAGTCAGAGTGAGACTATAATTAACAAACCATTCGAATTTGAGATAGCAAGTTGTGGACATATATATTTATTTGGCCAGATAGCATTTCGGCACCATGACTGGTGTCAGTTCGTTATGTGAACCGTAACCTTATTACTGAACCTTACTCCCAACTCTAAATCTTGATTCAGATTTTGCACTCATTTATACCCCTCTCTTACCTTGGTAATCTTCCAAAGGTTACTTGGGCATCATTCGAAGGTTGTTCATGAATAACAATCTCGCCATACTCAATCCCTTGAGTTCACCCGTAGGTATCAAACGTTTCAATGACCCCAAATGCCAGATTGTTCGAAGCCGGAGTTAACAGCGGTCTTAACGCAGTCGCCCTGTGTATTTTACGTAAGCTGTACGACTTGATAGCTGTTGATATTAGTGGAGTTAGTGTTGGCTGTTTTTACATCTTGTCTATATCCTTTAAAGGCTTTTCGCCGTACAACTGTGTTATATTTTTCATGAAAATATCTTGTTTTCTATACATATTTACTGGTCCCTGATTAGATTGAGTATTTCTCTACATTTAAAAGCGTTTTTCTGTGAAAATTTTTTATTTTTGGTAATTACAATTTATAGTATGTTGGGTAAAGGAGATCTTGTACAGTGACAATAGTTATGATTAGTAGCAGTTTTCTGCAAAAATGCTCAATACATGGTAATTTCATTGGAGTATAGCCTGTACCTTACGTGCTGGCACAGTTTACTCGAGTAATTTATAGGAAAATCGGATAGATGCATAACTTTAACGGAATAAAGAAGGCATAACATCTACAAAAGATAACATAAGGTGTCCCAATTTGATGTATTTATCTTTAATGAAAGAGACAATTTTCCAGCTTTGGGTTTCATTTTTGAACAAATCAAAAATAAGAAGAAAAAACAATATCACATTTTGATTCCTGATGTATTTTGTTGTATAGATTATGCACTGGTTACTGAATAGTTCTCATTCATGTATTGCACTTTACCGGGAATTCCGGTTTATTCGATTACCTAGAAGTGTGTGTACATAAACGCAGCAAAGTTGTAATGTAATAAGTAGGTAAGCCAATGGTTTTCTCGCACACAGCGATAAAATAAAAATGATATATATTGTTGATTGTCATCTGCAGTCATTCTTGGCGCTTTACAATTCAAAAGGAGTGGATAATGAGCAAATATTAGCGCCTACCAAGGCGAACTGATGCTCCGAACGAGCTCCGAGAACTCCCAGCACTAAGTGGATTCCCATGGTTGTCTAGAAGACCAGTTGCGGTAGCTGGTCGTGCAGGTGGTATTGAAGTACTCAGAAGGCTTCCTGTTGTTGTGGTATTGGTGGAGGATTGATCTAAATCTTGATCTTCTGTTTCATGTTGCGAGTTGCCAGTAGTTCCGGGAACAGAGTAACTGACTAACGCACCACTAGCTGAACCTGAAACACAATTCGCTTTCCGCATGGCAATTTCCAGGAGTTCTGCATCACTTAAATTTCGGCTTGCGACTGAAAGTAGTGAGAGCATTTCCTCATGAATACGTGATTCTGGGAATTCTACCTGGATAAATGTATCAACAAAAAAGCATCTGTGTAAATAAAAGCAAACTATACATGAATATAATTAAGATACACTACTTATTACGAAAAGCTAATAAATATCCAGTAAGAGATGGTTATTTAATAAACAGGTGTTAAAGTCTGTGGAATTTGGTATTTCTGACTGATTAGAGAAGTCTCGCCAACTATAAACTACATATCCCAATTTCAACAACTAGTTCCTTTCACGCCATTTAAAGACGCTACATTTTTATGTTAAAATTCGTGCCAAAATCACTAGCGCTTGTGAAGCGCAGAAAAAACATGAAGGACTCAGACTACGGAACTTGCAGTACTAATAATCTAATATATATAATCAACTAGATCGATCGACTTTTCCATCGTATTTGCAGAAATAATTTTGTAAGTAAAGGACTGCTCAGTATTTATGAATTTTAATTATGGGTGCACAGAAACGATTTATTATCGCAAAGTTTGTATTTTACCGGCAATGCTTAATAAAACACACCTGGAGGTCAGTCAGCTACAACGTAGGACCAGGCACATATATGCATCGGTCCAAGTTGCCATACCTCATTAACACAACAAGATGAACACCGGATTCATAACAGTGGTTAAGTCAATGGCGGTAATATACAAAAGAAAGATTGCATATAAGGATATAGTACAGAGGAAAGAATTAGTTCGTAGAAAGAAAGATATGAAATGATTTTAATCTCTTAGTTTAAGGGAAGACAGAAAGTGTATACACCTACACCACTGTGGTCGATTCTGAGCCATGTCACGCTTAGTCTCCAAACAATGGTTACAATAGTCACGCGGACCCCAACCAAGTAGCCTGCATCTACCAACATGGCTCAGATCGTAAGTTAGTGTCTTCAAGCACTGATGATACGTTTTGGTTTGGCCGCCCATAACTTTCTTCCAACCATCTCCAACACCGGTTAGCATTGCACGACTTCGTAATCGATGTTCAGGCATACGCAACACGTGGCCCAACCATCTCATTCGATGAAGATTTATAACCTCATTGACTGATTTACCATCATTATCTAATACCCTGAGTCTAACCTCACCATTACTTACCCAGTGATCCCAGCAGGTGCAAGCAATATTTCCAAGGCATCTGTGGTCAAATACTAGTAACTTACGAGTATCTTCTACTCTTATTGGCCACGTTTCGCAGCTGTAAAGTAAAACAGAACGAACTGCCACGCAGTATACTAGTCTCTTAATTGATGGACGGATATCTCGCTCTCGCCATAAGTGACGTAAGATGGCAAAAGCCAAACGAGATTTCCGAGTCCGTGTTAAAATTTCGTCAGACACCAACCCATTTGGGCTGATCAGACTTCCAAGATAAGTAAAGTTGTCAACGCGTTCGACTACTTCACTCCATCTATCCACAGTTCAGGTAATGACGCAGGTCAGTGTTGAAGCAACAATTTGCATTTAGAAGGGGAGAAACGCATCCCAATTATTCTGGAATTGATCAGTGATACCAAAAGACTCTGTACTTTAATAGCGTCTTTACCAAATAGGACTATATCATCTGAGTATTCTAAGTCGATAAGTGGACCTCCTGTTAGATCAATACCCGAAAATTCAGTCGACGAGAACGTTATTTCCATCAGTAGGTCTATGATGAAGTTAAACAAAAATGGAGAAAGTGGACAGCATTGACGGACACCACTTGAGGTTGCAAAAGCAGATGACAGTTCGCTATAAGCTCTGACTCGACTGGTAGTGTTCGAGTAAAGAGCATTCATAAGGTTTATGTACTTCTGAGGAACGCCTTTCAATGACAGACACTACCACAGAATTTCGCGATCAACAGAGTCAAATGCTGCTTTTAAGTCAAGAAAGACCTCCATTGTCGGACGCCGATAAGCATGTCTGTGTTCTAGAACCTGACGAATGGCGAATATGTGGTCGATACAGCCACGACAAGGTTTCAGCTTGATTCTCTCGTGTTTGCAGTTCACAAATCTTAGTCAGGCACCCGATAATTATTGAGGCTAGTGTTTTAGGTGCTATGTTAGTCAAACTAATCCCTCTATGGTTGTCATAGGAATATTTTGACCCTCTCTTATATATTGGGACGATAAGTGATTGTGACCACTTGCCTGGAGGTAAAGGTTAACGGTTGGCCAAACCGAAGTAGGTGGTCTGTACCCACACAATTAAGATAATGAATCATAGCCCCAGTTTAAAAAGAAACTGAAGTGCATTGGAAAACTAACTAAAATATGTACATAAGTGAGAGACTAAGAGGGGGAGTTGAAATATTTAAGTCTTTAAGGGTAGAAACCAAAGAGCATGAGCACTAGTTGGAGTTTCACGCAAAATTGCAAATCTGTTAAACACAATGTGTGTGCTTAGCAGCAGTGAAAATGCACTACAACAAACTAATATTTCAACACTTAAATGAAAAGTTGGGAAACGCTGAAAGACGAAGGGTGTAGATACACAAAACACAAACGTAACAAAAATAAAGAGTCAATAAATATGGGGAAATGGAAAGGATCAACCCAAAATCATTTGTTAAGTTTGTTCATTTATGGAGAAGATAAAGCAATGTAAAATACTTTCAAATATGAAAACTATGGTTTTTAGTTCGAACCACTATAC